CACATTGTTTATATAGGCATAGTGAGAAGCTAATTTCAAAATCACATGAAAACAGAGAGAAACAACTGTACCAACATCTGAATTATCTGTAGCTAACAATATGAAAACAGTATTAACTGCCAATCCATTATGTTATACACAGATGAAGTGAGGAAGCTGGTGTGTTCCCGCAACAAAGTCCATGATCAGGGTATAGTTGTAGAATATTATAATCAGAACAACTTGAACCTCATACTAAATACTAAATGGAAGAATAATTTGCAGTGCTCAGTTAAAGAAACATATAAACATTGAGAAAGGCTTTACAAGAAAACTATATATAGACTAATAGAGAATATATCTGTTAGTCACATATTGCTCTGGAAACTCCAACATTTTCATTTGGATGTACTTTTTCACTTTAATAAAAATAAAGTTATCAAACATGAGTTCAGACTAGTAGTAAAGCACATATTTGATAATTATAATTTCCACTGATTTTTTCCCAAATGCTACACTGTTCTGTATAAAAATACACTGGAAAGGCACACTGGCAGCTAAATACCAAAATACATATAGTGTACATATCTATTAATAAAGGGTTTAACTATATGTAATTTCTATATTTGCAACTTTTTAAATGCAGATTTTAACCTTACTGACATACTTTGTAGGGCTGAATACAGACTTAGGGAAGTTTGATGGAAGTGAACTTCCTTGTTTTCTCCTCCCCACAACAGCCTTTCTGTTAATGGAAACTGCCTCCCCCTCTATTTGGAGAGATCCCACGTGCCCTCCCAACACAGCCTACCCCATTCAGCAGTGTCCCCAATACTCTCTGCAGCATTTGGGAGGCTGTGTGGGCTACCGCAGCAATGAGGCAACAGATAAGTGTGCTTCCAGCAACCCTGTTGCACAAAAACTCATTTAGTGGAAGCGAATTTAAAGAAACTAACCATTTTTTTCAGATGTCTATTGCTACTCTGATATTTGTGATTTGATTATCCATTTTCTTATCAATATGCTTAACATATGACAAAAGTGAGCAATTCTACAACTACTGAAATTTTATGATAGCTGTATTTTGGACATCTATATAATACAACTAGTAGCACTGATTTATTATTTACAGAATGAAGACTATACTGGGAGTTACACAGCTTTTCTCAGCCTTGTCAATTAATTGTTTGCGCAAGATGGTGTTTTTATTCATTGTGTTAAACAAGTTTTTATTAGTGTTGTACGCTGCCTTAAATGCCATTTTTGACAGAGAGGTGGTGCTACAGTGGTAACAAATCAAATCAAAAAATAAAGCCAGTTGAGTTTTCCATATATATCACCTTTGCCTAGCATATACTGCTTTCTGTAACTGCTGTTCCAATAATGAGCCAGTCACAATGGTAATTCTGAAATCTGAATGCCTGATAGATAATACATTGTATGGTTCCAGGCTTGCTTAATTGCAATTAGGTCCCACTGAAATCAATGGAACATAACCTTTGACTACTTTCTCATGTTAATTTCAATGGGACCAAAGTGCACCCAACCTTTCTATACAAGTACTGTATGAATAGGATGGAGCTTTTAGTCTGGTTCTGATAAAGTGTCTAACATTCATATCTGCACTGCTATAAGAATATTTGTTCTAATGTATTTATTATGACAAAATACTTTATCTAAGTATATCCCTTCTTTTTAAACCTATCTTGACTTAAACATCATCTGCACATCAAGAGGTTCCACAAGGTTAATGGGCAGGGAAACCAGCTGCTAGGACTTGCCTCTGAACACTGCACATTTAATGCAGGTCAGGAAGGGGAGTGCACCACCCTGGGAGGCCCAGCTGCACAGGCCTCCTCCATGCACACAGCCAGCTTCCCCCTTCAGGGCTTCACTCACTCAATGCCCACTGCCTTGAGACTGGGGCAGCAACGTAACCCTGCTATACTTTAACCATGCGAAGTTATTTCATATCATTAGCATGAGATGGGGGGGGGGATCAACAGCTTCCCCATCCATTTCCTGCAGCCCCCTGAAAATGAAACTCTGGGAGCTCCCCCAGTCCAAATGGAGCACATGTGGAGAATGTTGCTAGGGCTGCTTGGCCCATCCCCTCCTGATTCCAGACAAAAGCAGTTCTTCCAGCAGAAAAACTGTATTAGTTTAGTCGCATTTTTAATCAGCCACTGAAAGCCACAATACAATACTAACATTTCAGATTAGGATGGAAACTGAAGGGAAACCTAAAACATACAGGTTTCTTTTTTTTTAAAGCGCCATATTTTTACTACAAGTGCAAAACGTGTTCTTAATGCATTTTTTCTAAAACCCATAGTTAATATGTGATGGTCTATAAATCATGGGCCATATTCTATACTGCTGGCATGCCTCTGCTAGTCCTATTATGCTACTGGAATGGACCGGTGGTGCAACAGAACTCGTGGTTCCTGAAAAGAACACTGAAATAATCAGAGAAGCTGTAAGCTCTGCTGAAGACTAGCACTGCTGCTCACTTCTGGTTGTTTCAGGAAACGCTAGTTCCTGTTGCGCTAGTGTGGGAGCAATACAGGATACAGCCCCATATATCTCATGTTCCTTTTTTTTTTTAAAAAAAAGGAATGATCAAATTATAGATGGCACAAGAGATAATTAAAACAGTGTCAAGAGTTGCAAGCAAATTTCAAAGAAAATATGCCAGTTTTTTTCCCATTCAAATTTGAGGCACATCAAAGATCCCTGAGCTACACACAGACGCTTCACTGTAAGAACATCTCAGTGCCCCTTCTTAAAGCAATCTTGAATTTTGCTTAACAAATGAAATCCACACAAATTGTTTCACAAGTCCTATTTGAATGTCTCCCTATTCCACACACATAACACTCAACAATTAAGAGAAGGTAAACTCCTTTATGAAATGCCCATACATGTTCATCAGAGGTACCTGGAAACCAGGTTTCAATTTTGCCCTTATGTCTCCCCACCATGCTTAAATACCAGCTTATTTTTTTAACATTCAGAAATCATTTCTGTTTATTAGATTCCAAACTAGTTGGGGTGAGAGGTCTACAAATTATGTTGGTAAAAACAGATGATTTTTACATTATGAAGTCAGAAGATTATTTATTCTAAGATTGTCAAGAACATATTATAAAAGGTAGTAAATTGAGGTATTATTTCTGTCAGTTGTTAAGAAGCAGCAGCTTTGTTCCACTTGAGTTCCACTAAGTGCCTGGAAATATTTCATTCATTAAAGGACAAAAGGTTTTAGATAAAATGAGAAATGTTGTGAAATACCTCTTTATATTGTTGTGAACCAATCCCAATCTTTACATTTAAAGAGTGGTTGGGCCCAAGTTTAAAAACAAAAAGGGATCTGCTGATGAAGAAAGCTAAACCCTCTCTTCCCACCCACAGCTTACTTCCCCACAGCTCAACACTCAACCTCCTTTTTCTCCATCTAAGCTCCAGTCCTAGAGGAACACAAGAGAATCAGAGGGAAATAGGTTGATTATTCAGTTGTACTTATTCGCTCATCTTTTTTACAACCCATAAATCTGTACTTTTGGGTTGGCACATTAACAAGCACCCATGATTTAGTAAAGCATAATTAATTAAACCATAGTTTGTCATTACATGTGAACCAGGTCTCAAAGATCTACAAAAGAGATCATTCGATGTTTTTAATTATAGAAATGATTAGCATCCTATTTCTATATTAAAATAAAACTTTCTTGCGCAGAATTAGGTTTTAAATTTGCATGCAGTAATTTGGAGAATCTATGTACAAAACACAAAAGCAATAGAATTATTAACATAACTGACTATAAAGACTTAGAATTTTGAAAATATTCATTTTAAAAAAAAATCCAGTGACTACCTCTAAGGGGAAATTTATCTCATGCACAGATCTCTAGGAATATTCAGTCTTGCTGCACTTCCACAACAGTTCTTAAAATAATACAATGAAGTTTATGCTATTGAGTCATTATATTTTAAAATATATACAAGTGTTCCAATAAAATGATTTTCAGGTAACATTTAACACTGCTTTGAATATAAGATTTTAAAATCACATTAAGTGCACTTTTTTCCAAATATAAGTTTAGACTTTTTGTCTTGAATCAAAGATTTTAGTTCAGCTATGTTTCACTACAAGAGAAACAAAAATACTAGGATATTTATATAGCAGACTTCCCTGAAATGACCCACTTCAGATGTTCTGGGCTACAACTCCTATCTTCCCTGACACTGGACATGCTCACTGGGGATGCCACAAATTGTAGGAGAAAGTACCTGACAAGACCTGGATTGAAAAATGCTATTCTAAAGCATGTGACATTATTACAGTACACTTTTTAAAACTTTTAATTAATATAAGCTAAGCATATTAATTAGAACTCAATCAATTTAGAACATTAGAAGATAATTATTTTTCCCCAGTAGCCCTATCCAACCATAGAGTACATAGTTCTGCAAAGCAAATACCATGGTTATTACCCCCCAAAAAAGACCATTTATGATCTGTAAGGTCAGTATAGAAATAGTTGGGACTCGCAGACTTTTGTGGGTGCAGTTCCCACAACTGCCAATTAAGGGTGACCATTGGCTTGCATTGTCTTTTGCAAGAGCTATAGAACTAAGAACTCTTCCTTCTTGTTTGGTTTTCTAGGCTACGATCTGATGCATACTATGAGGAAGTGCATTCCACAGAACACTGTAGAAACTACTGCATAGTAACCTTTCATTCTGTCAGACTCTTTCATTGGTGTAAGCAAGCTTCTTTAGTTACAGTCTAAGACCATTTTGTTTACTCTTTTGCTTTTCTACACTGTAGCTATGGGACATTTTTTCTGAAGTCAACATGCAATATGGCAGATATTAAAATTAGTTTAAAAAGTCTTTTTGTGTTTCATTTGAAAAAGATAGTCTGGGCCCTAGACATGAGAAGCATATTTTGGATTGCAGAAAAGTTGAAAGAATAAATAACATCTACAAACACACCAACATATACAAAGACACACCTGTTGCCATGTGGCTTTCTGCAAAACCCACACTGCTTACTAGGTACCCAGAGACTTTTGCTTTCACTGGGAGAGAGGTGTTCTGAGCTCTCCCGTTTTATAGTAGAAATATTATCTGGAATGAATAGTGGTGGCTCATCAACCGAAAGACTTTTGCTGCTTCTTCTCTGACGAGGCTGAAGGCTCTTTTCTAATTTTCTGAGTTTCAGTTTTTCTTTTTCATCTTCTTTCAAATAATCTACAGGTGCTCCTGAGCAATCCTTTTTCCCTCCTTCATCCTTAATGCAATTATTTGTTTTTAGAAGTTGGTGTTTCTGTAGTTGCTTCTGGCTGTGGTGTGGCAATGGCCCTTGCTTGGGATGCGCTGGTCCAGACACCACGGGCGTGATTTCTTTTGAAGCAGCATGACGGCTGGAAGACCTGGCACTAGTTCGCTCTGTTGATAGCTTCCGTACCTGTGCTGGGATTTGGACCCGTGGAATGTTTTTCCCTGCTACATTTGGCTCCTTTTTTAGAGCCACTCCAGAATCATGGCTCTGAGCCTTCATGTCCTTATCAGCATGTTTTTTCCTAACTTTCACTGGCTTATGGAAATGCTGGAGTTCTTCCAACTCTGCTGAATGACGTTTCAGACTTAATGAAGAATGACTGTGAACCCCTGAAAGATCTTGTGTTTTAGCATGTACTTCCTGGTTTAAAGGAGTTAATTTTTGCTGGGCAGCTTGCTTAGACTTGGCATGTTTGACCTTTACATTTTTTACACATTTTGATGAAATGCTAGAATGCTCATCTTCCTGCAATCCCAGTGTCTCGTGTTCTGCCATATTTACATTGTCAGACTCCTGATGTGCAGTTTGGACTGGAATGTCTTGACCTGCATCCCCTTCAAAAGTATTTGTTTCTGATTTGGAAGTGGTATCTATGCTTTTTGACTCAGTCTGATCTACATCCATGCTACCTAAAGGAGGATCATCTTTTGACTCAGCCTTTTTAGGGTCATCTAAAGGTTCTGGTTTGTCTTCTTCTGGAAAGTTAATTTTATGACCCATGTCCATACTAGCCTGTAAGCCTGAGCTGTCTTCAGGTTTTCCATCCACAAAGTTGGAATGAACGGTAAGAGTTTCCTGAATTTTACTTTCATTCTCATAAGTTCCAGTAACAAATGGAATATCAACCATTCCAGTTCCCTTACTTTCATCATCCATGTTAGTTTCATTCAGCCGTGCCTCTCCTTTATTGTCTGTCTTTTCTTCTGAAGACATTTCGAATGTACATTTATTCTCCACAGTCTCATCTCCTCCTTTTTTAAGCATATTGTTATTTTTTACTGAACTAGCCTCCACATAAGCAGATGATACCAAGCCCACCCCAACACTATCATGTTCACTTTCTACAACTTCTGACCTATTCTCCATTTCTTCAGCCGGGGAACTGGTCCCTGGTAAACAAGAAGCATTTTGTCCTTCATGCGGTGCTTCCTCTCTTTCTTCCTGCTTAGGAATTCCATGTTCACTATTTGCTTTTACTTCATCTGAATCTGCACAACATGCAACCCATTCGGAATTGGCTGAAGGCGGCTGTGATGCTTCTTTTGCCACTTCATGCTGGTAGGGTTCATTATTAATGTGCTCAACCTCTTTCAAATGCTCTCGGATATTACCATCTTCCCATTTAGTCTGCCCTTTCTCCTGCTGCTTCAGTCCTCCCTTTTGGGCAGATCCAGTCTTTACAGCGGATTTCTTTGCAGTAACAGATGGTGGAACATTTGAACGCTTGGCTAATGTACTCTGCCGTAGACTTCGTACTGGTTCTGTTACAAGAAATAAGTGATTAAACCGTTTATTCATTTTTTGAAAAAACAAACTAAAACAAACTAAGTTATTTGTATGATTTAATACTGTAAAAAAGTCAATAATACTGTAAGTTGCTCTTAAACAAGTGTTCAAGTTGAGAGATGGATACTTTGCTCATAACACACTAAACATAGCATCTTTACAAGTTATCAAGAGGGAACAAGAAACTAGGCTCTTGAAGCCTACCAATGGAAACATTAAAAATCTTACATCATAGCTTCCTTACATGCTAAAAATTCCTGAATATTATGTAAAGAATGGTGCAGTCAAATAATAACTAGTTTACATTTAAAATATTACTTCAAAACATTTATAAATAAAATATAAACCCAAGAAAATGTAAAAGAAAATGATATTTAAATGCTCTAATGGTTTCCTGTAACAGCTAATCAAAATTCTCAATGACACACAGAGTAGGTTGCACTAAGCAAACAGTACAGAATATCCAATTATACCTTGTGCCATTAAACGTGGAGATTTTCTTGGTGATTTGACTGAAGTCCCATCCATTTGGTCCCTCAAATTCCTGTTAGCCGAAAGATCATCTTCATCAATGGCATTGCGGGCAGCTTCTTTAACTCCTTCATCCATAATATCATCGAGTCCAACAACTAAAATACAAACAAATAAATCCTTAAACCTTAAAAGTATCGATTGATGCAACAGTTTCATGAAAGTAGCTGGGAACGTCAACACTAGCTAAAAGAAAATGATGGGTAATGGGGTAGGGGCGGGGGTTAAAAAAAAAAAAAGATTAAAGCATGATTAGGAAGCATGATGTACAAATTTCCCACAAGGCAGGTAAAACAAGTGGTCATCCAGAGCAGTATATTTCTTATACGGTCCTTCAGAAAGAGAGTCATAGCCATTTTTAATGGACTCACATTTTATTGATTTGCCACAGGAAGTTCTCAGTCCTTAAAGGATCAGCTGTCCCCTCACTGTCCCTTCCCACCTAAGAGAAAGAGAATTTAACAATGGAAAGGGCTGATCCAAACGTGACAATCTCCTTTATCTATATCATTTTAGTAGTTTGATTTTAGACTTTAAATCTAGAACATGTTAGTCTACAGCTTGGAAACTATTAATAGAGGATTCACTTGCCAAACTTCCAGACAGATTCTAAAAGCTACCACTTAAGGCTGCAATCCTACTCTCACTTAAATGAGGCATGCCCCCTTGGACTCAGTGAAATTTACCTCCATTTAAACTTATCCAGGGTTCACATCAGGTTGCTATCCATCACTAAGGTCAGTTCACATGTGAAATGTGTACACAAGTCCTGCACAACTTGTGATCTGCCAAACTAACAGTCCACCTGCAGGGTGTTTGACATTCCCTTGGTTTTGCAATTTCAGTCAAGCAGTAAAGGTATCAGATTTAGTAATCCCTGGCAAGCCATGAGTAATGCAGGCCTTGGGTATGCCATTAATAATGAAAAGCAGCTTGAGTGTTTATTATGATTCAAGTACACAGGTCACTCAGATTATTCTGTATAGAAAAAACTGTTGAGCATAACGTAGTCTTAAGCTATAGAAGATCAAAAATATTCAGGCAGCATAACTCCATGATAGCTGGTATCTTCAATTCTTCTCCATTACAAGGTAGATATGTTCAAATCAAAGTGATTTAAAATTAAGTATTTAAATAAGCCTTCCTCAAACTGAGGCTATTCCATATATGTTGGTCTACAACTCTACTGACTCACACAGTGTTCATGAGAGTTACACTGCTACACACCTGTTTAGGGAAGGCTTCTTTAAATTATGATTTAAGCTTACAATAAAAAAGATCAATTTTAATATGTGATTTAAATCAGGTCCCACTGAAAATGTCATAATCCAGGGTACAAATCAGTCCACTAAGCCATATAAATTTGCAACTAAATATAGCATCATTGGACTGTACAGGAAGAGATTTTGGGAGGGGGTTAATTTGATCTTTACTAATTTTAGAACATTATAGAAGCTGCCACTAACCTGATGCCCCTCAAGTGTTTTGGACTTCTACTCCTAGCATTCCTGTCAATGCTGCCTTAGGATGATGGGACTTCAAGTCCCAAACATCTAGAAGGCACCAAACTAGGAAAGGCTGCATTACATAATACTCTCGTTTATATGGGGAACTGAGTGAAAATGCTTGGGCTCAATTCAGTATCATATAAGCAAACTTTCACTTGCTCTACTCTCCTCTGCACTTCACACACACTGGTTCATTTTAACATTCTTCTAACTCAAGGTATCTGACAGGAAGCAGTAATTCAGTGTAGATGTTTACTGTAGGATTTACATTCAGATTTAATATAAACCACAAAAAGTTTAATATTTACAACATGTTTAAAAGTAGAAAAACCTGATTTAAATGAAATAACATTAACTTTATCCACTGGCATAGAAAAACTAAACACATTGTTCTAAAAAGAGAAAGTCATTCATTAACCCTAACCCTAACCCTAGCATCTCCCCAACTGATGGTGGCCCAGATACTACTTGACAACCTCCAGTAAAGGATGCCTCCTACACACACACACACACACACACACACACACACACACACAGGGAAATTGGTTCCTAAAGTAAAGTAATGTTCTCAAAGAAGATAAAGGTTAATGCTCAACCAATATATACCCTCCTGTAATTAAATCCATTACATCTAGTTCAGTCCCTGAAACATCACTAAACCAACCTTCACACTCTTCTCTGTGACAGATATTCAGTTATTTAAAGAATGCTATCATGCCCCCTACCTCTAGTCTTCACTTCTCTAGGCGAAACATACTCAGTTCTTTCAACCACTCCTTACAGCTTGTTTTCCACACTGCTGTCCATCCCATCCTTACTTATTCCTATATGCTGTACTCTCTTTCAAAGTTTGACACCCAAAATGAGACACAATAACTCAGAAAAGGTCTGACTAGTATGGCATATAGTGGAACCATTACTTCTTGTGACTTGAAAACTTTAGTCTAAAACCATCCCTTGCCATGTTCAGTTTCTTTTCTACAAGTCTGGGGTACTTATCTTTACTTGCCCCTAATGGCCTTCATACAAGTCCTTTAAAAAAAAACCCAGCCTACTCCTATATTCAGCTTTTTTTATAGCGTTTCTGATGTCTCCCATTTTTTTCTCATGGGGAATGTTTGCAATTGCATCCTTGGTAATTTCTAGCTGGAGTGTAGTGTAGTAGTTAGTGTGTTAGCCTTGGATACAAGCAATGAAGGTTCCCATCTCCACTTGACCAAAAAGGTCATTGAATGACTTTGGGCTAGTCACTGACTCTCAGTCTAATCTACCACCCAGGGTTGTTGTGAGGATAAGACTGATAGGAGAAGGATTATGGAAGACATGTTGAGTTCCTTGAAGGAAAAAAGACGGAATATAAATGTAATATAATAAATGAACAGTACCTTCCCATGGAAGTGTTATACTTCTAAATTGCACAATCAACATGTCCTGTTTAACTTGCGGTCTTTTCCTTCTACATTTCTTTTCCTAATTTGTTATTTTTAATGAACTCAACAATATAATATATATATATATAAAAATTAGTGTAGTGAAAAGGAAAACATAATTAAAACACACTAAAGGAGCCCTCAAGGTACCACATTTACAAAATGCTCATACATCTAACCAATCGCATTGTAATCATCTTCTCCAGTTTTTCTTCCCCTACAGGACAGAAAATTATAGGAAGTAATAATCTATTTATAAGCACCCATAGATGCTTCACTTTAGCAACTACTTATATATGTTAGGATTTTATAGTTCTTTATCATCATTTACACTCAGTATTTGCTCTCAAAGCTAATCACCCAATGACCTGGTTCACATGTCACAAAAACCTGCCATAGGTAACCAGCCATAGTGAATTGTCATGTCAACGAAACCCAGATTGCTTCACAAAGGGTGGGCTATTTACAGGCAACAAGCACCCGACACAACATGGCATGTTCTAGAGGATGTTCAACCCACTAACAGTTGTCAGATTGCACAAACCCGGGAGAGCAGATAAATTGTGTGTTATGAGATCAGCACACAAGCTACCCAGCAAAGGGTGGGGGGGAGAACCCTCCTGTTCTCTGCAATCCCATTTGTGCCATTGCCAGTGACAGCCCCTCCCACCAAGGCAACACTTTGGAGTACCATCACTGGTTCACCACCCTTTTCTTCTCCCCCCCCGCAATGCTTGCTATTTTTATAATTGTTGTTCCTGTTATAAATCTCTCACAAGCATGCAGTTATGATGGTCTGATATGAGAAGTTTTGCCAAAGGGTTAGGGTTTCTTGTACTTTTCAGTTATCAAAGAGAGAACTGAAGTGAATGGGCAACTCACATGGAAACTGAAAAGGTGAAACTACATATACAGTTGCCAGGGACAGGTTGTCACTGACAACTGAAAATTACCAGTAAAGGGGTAAAGGCAGCAAAAGGTGCAGCTCAAGGGTGGAGAACAAAATCCTCCCGACTTGTCAATGCAAACCTTTCAACTTTAAGTATTGAACTGACAGCTTTAGTTACCTCTGCTTTTTCAACACTTCCCCCAAGTCTACAGCTATGCAAAAAAGGAAAGCTATTAATTTAGTCCATGTTTCACTGCTCCCTTTTGGAGCACTTACTGATTAAATTACTGCGCTTCCTTGACAATTAAAAAAAACCTGAAAAAAGAGGTGAATGGCAAGGAGTGAATGGGGCCCTTGGGGAGGCAGGTGTGATTACTACTGGTCCTTGAGCCCCACTCACACCATTCCATTCTGATACTTCTTAAGGGTTTTTTTTTAACTGCTGGGAAAATTTCAGCATGGGGGTAGTTAGGAAAAATACACGAATTTAGAATCTGGGAAGTAAATGGAGGAGAGTTTTGCATACATCAAAGAGTTGGAAAGTAAACAGAGAAAAAATGTATGCACCTGCATTAACTGCTCTGTTAATGCAGGAATGCAAATTTCCCTTCCATTTACAACACAGAGTAACAGTGGCAGTAAGTGCTCCAAAACAGAGCTTCAAAAAAGGAGGGTAAGTATTTTCCATTTATAAAAGAGCTGAAAATGCAGAGAAGTGTTAAAAAGGCATCTGGCACTTAGAACTGTCAGTGCAATACATAAAAACAGGGGAATCATACTGACAAAGACATTTTATCTCCACACCACTTTTGGGTGCACCTTGTATTACTACTAGGGAGGCAGACACTGACAACCATGTGTAAATCCGCATATGTACAGTCCCATCATGTCAGTTTGTTTCCAACTGCTGATCCCTTCAACTGCTGTAACAGACAAGGAAATTGATCAGTAAGACTTCTCATATCTGACAGTTGCAAGTGTACTCCTATGCACTTGCAAAAGCTCTAATGAAGAAGGGAAGAAAATTGCAAGCACTATTACACAATATTCTGGAGCCAAAAAATATAATCCCAATTGCACTTCTCTGAAGGGATAGCAATCGAAGCAGGGAGGGAAGACAAGGGGTTCTGTCACTGGGATTATGGCAGGCGACCAAAGGAATATGAGGAAAGAGCAATTCAGTCTGTTGGGTGCTTTGGGGTTGCTCCATAAGCAGCCCATACTGTGTGACTTATTTTCCATGACATGTGAATGCAGCCCGTGTCTCTTTT